ATGATTGTATGATATGTTTGAATTATGTGAATTATTCTATGGTATATGTGTGAAATATGTGAGATATTTGATGGTCTGAAAATGTGTAAATGTGTAAAGAAATATTTAGAAATTTGCTGGATTGTTTCAAATTACTGGGTAACAGGTGGACAGACACATTGAAAATAATGCCACAATTTGAGACAATCAAATATTTCATATCATAGTCTCAAAACTTTAGGAATATGATCTCAAGAGTGCTACTTTAAAAACAAGAAAATAGAGATTGTAACAAAACATCATACATCCATACTACAATGTCTCTACATTTTTTGTTTGGGATCAATAAAATTCAAAATTATACATGACTTTGTGTAATTGTGTGTAATTTTACTTACATTATGTTTAGAGGCACTTATTAAGGCAGTAAGACTGCCCTGGACAAAACTGTGTTGTCACACTGTATTCCAAATGATTTCATTCTTAAATCTTCACATTTGTTTTATTCACAGTGTTCTGAGAGATGCCTTTGGTCATCAGATTACTCAGGGATACAGTCATTATGACAGACAGCTAAGGTAAACTTTCAACTATATGCTTGCCATAAAAGACTTTATTGCTATTTAAATACTGTTTTGATAAATATAAATTGACATTTGTACCTGTGTTTTTATTCCACTTAGAACATTAAAAGTGCATGTACATGTACATTCTTACAAAACCACTCAAAATCAGTACTGTAGATATTTAATGTAGATACTTGGTAATTGTTGTCCTAAGTAACTAGTGAAAATAGCTAGACGTTTCAGACAATGACTCTTTATCGATAACATAGAAGTAAATGTTGTATTTGTGTATTTACAATTGCACCATACCTTATCATGTATTCATATGAACTGATTTATTAATGACATAAATTCTTCAAAACTTATATTTAAATTTAAAACATTATCTAAGTTAATGTAATATTGTATTTGGTAGGAATGATCTGTTGGTGATTGCAACTATGGTGGCTGTGGAATGTCCCGATGCACCCTTCATTGTAAGTATAAGTAAAAACCCAGTATGTAGGAGATGTAGAAATTATAATTCAATGGAAAACCAAAAATACATCCAGAATGCACATAGCATAGTCAATAGAGATTGCACCTTCAAAGATGCATTATGGATAAAAACATTTTTTAATACTATTATTCAATACCCCCATACTGTAGACCAAATCAGATTATGATTTATGATAAACTAAAAATGTTTTGTTTGCAGGACACACGACGGTATTCATCTGAAGACAAATCAAAACCACTAATATGTATATGCAGCTATTGTTATTATACATACATACATGTACCAAAACAACCAGTGCATATGCATATCAGAGAATTTCATTGCTTCAGATGAATTTCAGATGTGTACTAGAAGTTCATGATACATCATGTATCTATCAACATTTAGTACTACAACAGTACTATAAATTACATGCTCTCATCCATATTGCATCTTTGAAACTAGACAATGACTTATTTTTTTACTTTTGTCATTTTCCACAAACTAGTATTAATTAATAGTAGTATTTATTGTCAGCAGATACCCCGGTACTTGTAGTGTCACGCTTACTAATTATTATAATTCTGTTTTCGGTCTGAATGGTGTCTATGAGTAATGTCTAAGTATGAATATCACTAGTATGTCTTATATATGTAATTGTGTAAAACTGAGATATATTGTACAGACATCATTTTTTTGATTGTTTTTCTCCTGCTTTTTGAACATTTAATGATGGCTGATAGTTTATGTTTCTTTGTGCACTGTTTACTATATTCTAGCATAAGCCAATCTTCTATCATATCTTGGTATGTAACTCTGTCAGCTCTTAACATGTAACATTGTGTTACTGTCATTGCTTGTCTATTGTATTGATTACATGCATTTTTTATTCTATATCCAATTTTTTTTATAAAGACATTTTATGTTGAATCAATGACTTCACAGTCATGTTTTTGAGTGTGTGTGTGTGTGTTAAATTAATGTGGTGTCCCACTGCATTCTATTTATTGTACACCTTGTATACTTAAAACAGTTATTTATTTATATACTTTTATAATTTTGTTCAACTTGATCATTTTTACAGGAGACTGGTTTTGCTAAAAACCTTATTTTGTTCTCAACATTTCAAGAAATAAAGAGTCATAATGCCCTTGTCAAACATCTCAAATTAGGAACGGTAAGTTACTTCCTCATCAAACATCTCAAATTAGGAATGGTAATAAGTTACTTCCTCAAACATATCAAGTTAGGATGGTAAACCAGACTTGTCACTTTCCTAATACAAATTGAATACAAACATCACATGGCATGGTTTTTGCTATTGTATCAAACTTTAGGCTACATCAATTCCACAGTGGCTAAAAAAAATTGTGTGCCATCGAGGAAAGGAATGAAGCAATGCCATTATTAATGGCAGTCTTGGTGAAACAGAATGTGAAAGTTTTTGCTCAGATTTCTTTTATTTCTGGCCAAAGCGCTATTCACGTAAATTGTACTCAGGAGAATAAGGTTGTTACATTCCTTGTTGCTAACATTTCACTGAGAGCTTTTTAGTAATGGTTTCCAGTCTTTTCTTCATATTTGCTTCATCCAAAAATACACTGCCAGTACAAAGATGTTAGTTGTTTGGTTGTGGATTTTGTTTATCTTAAACGTACAATTCAAGTAACTCTTTGTGATATGTTGAACAGGAATGCCGAATGTTTCGAAAGTTTTTTATTGCAAACATTTTGGCCATTTGTGTTTCATCTTTGGAGGATTGCACACATTTCATACATGCATTCGACTATTAACAATATCAAAAAAAGATTAAGATTAGTGTATATGTTATATGACATGCATGGGTGTATGCTTATTTTACATGTACTTATCCTGCAAAATACATCATTTCAGTATTGGTCAATTTTTATACAAGACATCAACTGTATTGATTGTATTACAGATCACTCTTTACATAATATACCATGTTAACATCAATACCCATGTATTACTGCTCTACATCAAACAAGTTGAAATAAAATGATATACACCGGTAATCAGTTAAGAGGTACCTTAATGAGCAATAGCTTTCAAACTATTTCCACCAAAAATATAATTTTATGATGTGCTTGGGCATATGCTGCTATCAATGATTATAAGTGAAAAAAAAATACATGGGAAATTAATAAAAATATGTTAGAATATAGCATTCCTTGATAGAGGTACATATAGTCCCTTTACTCAAGGTACATCTTTTGTCATTTCTTGTAATTAACCATCAATATATGTTTTTTAAAGAAATTAAAATTCAAAAAAAGTACAGAATGAATAAATGACTAAATATGAAAACATATTTTATGGATTAATTACACTGAGTTTCAAAGTTTGTACGTTTTGCCACAAATATAGAATATTCTTCAGAGGATTGCAATGGATCACCAGCTGTAATATCTTTTTGTGTTTTGTAATCACACTTAATCTAACCATTCAATGAAGTGACTGACAACATTGCAAACTAGGAAGGCAATTAGCTGAATGACTGACTATGATGTCATATACCTGTTTATAGCTT